TTTGTCCCACACTTGTTTAGTTGTGGTACAGCTTGACACTTTGTTGAACTCAGTAGGAGTTAAGGCACAATGTAATGTGTTTATTGCCTTGAAGTTCGTCTGAACCTTTTTGGTTTCAGCTTCAGTCCATTCAAGTTTTGGCTTAGGGATCATTTCATTTGTCATTACATTTACAGTTGAGGGAATGAAGGGTCCATCAGTAATGACATCCCACATTTCATAATCTATTGCCCTTATATAGATTAAAATTTTTGTGCTCCAATAAAGGTAGTTCGATCCATCAAACAAAGGTGGTCTGTTTGTGGATTGTCCCTCAGTAACTATAGATTTTTGAAGAGCTATTTGGATCTCCCTTAGGATGTTAAGCCTTAAGAATGAGGGATCTAGCTCTGATGCCACTTGTTGGTCCCAAGTAAATGTGCTAGAGGGGGGGTGAATAGCACTTTTTGACTCTTACAAGCTTGGACCTCTATTTGGGGGCAAGTTTAACTTCAATGATGGGAAGTTAAATGCAAGATAAGGAATAGTCTAACAAAAAATAAAATGAAGAATAAAGCAGCAAAGACAAAACACAAAGATTTATAGTGGTTCGGTCAAAGACCTACATCCACTATCTTGATTGTTCAACTAAGGATTTTCTAAACCAAGTAACTATAAATGGTGAAATTCTCAAGCTTTCACCAAGCTTTTACAATAGCTTTTCACAAGCTCAACCACAACCTTCAACAATGGCTTTTCAAAGGCTCAACCATAACCTTCAACAATGGTTTTTCAAAGGCTCAACCACAACTTTCAATAATGGCTTTTCAAAGGCTCAGCCACACCTTTTAACAATGATTTTTTTCGAGATCAACCAAAACTCAAAAACTAACTTTTCCAGGCTTGGTTAGAACTTTTGCACTTAATCAAGCTAACCCAAGCTTGATTAATCCCCTTAGAGTGTCTCGCACACTCTAAGCAATCAAGAAAAAAAGAAATAAAGAAGTACCTATGATCACTAACCTGATCTGATGGTACAAGATGAAGTTCTTAATTCTGTTACAAAGATTAAAGTGAAGTGTAGAAAATATGCAGAGTGTTCTTAAGGTTTTTGAGCTGTTTTTGATC